AGTTTTTTTAGAGTTTTTAACCGTGATGGTTTTAACTTATGTCTCATCGCAATGTTTTATAGTTAAATTATTGGCACAAATTAAAGTCATGGAAATAATGCTGTTGTTGCGGTTATTATACTGGCTGTGGTCGCATCAACGCTATTATTAACTGAGGTCAGCATAAATTAACTTAGTCAGCCATTTAGATAGCGCGACCTACTCCCAATTCACTCCAACTCTGGTCAAGAAATTCATGATTCCATGATAAAAACACGTAGATAATTCATCAAGTTTAAACAAGCAAAATCAAGACCGTGAAGGTGTTTGGACGTATGACCTTAGTTGGCATAGATGTTTACGATTTTGTTTCTCCGTTTTCTCTTCAGTTTTAGTTTCGATTGAGTACATGTATCAAACACCTCAAAGCCAGTCAAATATACTCCGGTGCGTTAAAATTTCAACTCTCTTCTCGGTGTTTGGAAATGTGGTCAAACACTGTCTCTCGTGTTTTGATATGTTGCATCTAAAACAATACAATAAATATGTTACATCTAAAACAATACAATCCAACAAACTAATATAATAACAAGCGAAACGAATTAATGTCAAACTTTTGTTTAGTGTCATTTTCTCTTGTAAGTGTTGTTAGTTTTTTTTTTCTTCTTCTTCTTCTTCTCTTTAATTATCTTATAGTTTCGCAATGCTGTAACAATTTATGTCCATGCAAATAAAGCTTACCGTCGACGTTGTTGTTGACTAACCTAGCTAACCCAACCCTACCCTACCTTATCTTACCTTGTCCTTCCCTACCATACCTAACCTTCCTAAGCGCCGCATCATACCCTACCCTACCTTTCCACGTGCCGTAATCTGCATTGCCCCAACAAACCTTACCATAACTTACCTCACTAAATCCCAATCTGCTGCTCATTTAGATACCATGTTATTATATGGCTGTGTCTCACAAGGACTGGGAACTACAGAATTCAGGAATTTGATCGGCTGAAATCGATATTGAAAGCGGTCTTTATTTTCCCAACTAGACCGGCATCGAGACCGGTTACATTTCGAGGTGAGAAAGGTGCAAACTAAAATGCAAAAATATTTACTATTTTCCTCTAACAATTTTTATTTGTGGGAGTGCCAAAAAGCCCGATGAGAAAAAAAGTAAAGAGGACGAGCAAACTCTGGCAGAATTTAGTTCGGCTCATCACCGTTTGCAAGCAAAATGTCAGCTAGTACAAACCAGTTACATTAAATGAATTAAATTGTTCTTGTTTGCCGTACAATAAACATCTTATTAACCGAGTTTAGTCGGTCTGTATGGAAGAATCTTGATCTCGGTCGTTTGTGAAGACTTAACTGCGTTCGGTCTGTACTAACGACATCGGTCAAGATTCTCACATACAGACCTCCTGCTCGGTTAAAAAGAGCTAAATAATAAAATCGAACAAACAGTAGTAGAAATCGTAATTATACTCACACGAAGAATGTGTTGGTTTGAGTTCTGTGGGTCTGTAGCAACGGATACTGAAAGTAAGGTCTGTACATTCAAGTCTCTTAGAACGGCGCCCATTTTCTCTGCCACTGTCCATGAGTTCGTTCCACCCCCAGTCACTGTCCAGCCGCCATACTTCTTTATCAAGCTTTCCAAAGGTGAAATCCCTCGACGCTCAACTGCAGCGGTATCTACGCATGTTTCATAGATCTTGGCAGTTTTCACGATAGATGAACTCTACAAGGGAAGATGGTATTTAACCAGCCTTAATCAAATTATGCTGGTCTCCACTGTCGCCCCATCATAAATAAAAATCGTAACAATTCAATAAATGAAGTCAAGAATCTGGGATTTGATAGATGATTGATGTATCAACAACCTCGCAAAGATTTGGCCCCGTGCACGTTATTTGGAAAAGTTTTCCACCCAAATTTATAGAGCTTTCTATGAAGACGCCAAGTTGGTGCCTTTCCAGTGCAAGAACTGGTATTTCTATTTGTCACATGAAATCAGGCAATAAATGCGGGAAAATTTATGCACCGGCTTGCCCAAATATGGTATAAAAGTGCTGCGGTTACGGGTTGTTAGGCAACTCAAGACCTCGGGCAACGTTTTTCTCAATACGGTTGAATCTGGTTAAGCGTCCTAGACTACTCATGACAAACCTGTGAATAGTTAGAAGCAGCAGTCTCCATAGCTTGTCGCAAAACCTCCATGTTGTCGTCGTTCACGATAGTGAAGCCAGTTTCGCTACTTTGTTCCGCACTGAGATGATGGGCTTTGAAAAACCCTCCGCATGCGTAGGAATAAAAGTCGTCACATGGATCCACATTCTTGTCCAACTGATTGGAAATGACTTAGAAAAAATTACGACAAATTGTTAAGAAACTAATACATTGTCTCTGCAATAAGGATAGGTTGATCTTTCTTATAACCTTACTATAACAACTATCTTTTGAAACTCCCTTTTGAAACACACAGTGAGCTAGCTTGATCTGGTAAGTTCACTGTAAATATTTGCCTGTGTTTAAAGCTCCGGAAAGTGTAGGTGCGGTTAAACCAAGCTCTAAAAAGGTTACTTTAGCATCAAAATGTAAAACAAACCTTCAGATGGTGTGGATGGTGCCGTGGGTCGCTCTGTGGGTCGCTCTGTGGGTCGCGCTGTGGGTGGTTTCGTCGTGGTGTTGGGGTGGCGGTGTGGAGAAGTTCTCGTCGAAGTGGTTGAAATCGGCGACTGTCCTAGAAGTAAAAGCACCGTAAATCAAAACACTAAAGCTACTGAAAATTTTCCAACCGACCGGCAATAGCTTAAAGAACTAAATTAAGTAAGACGTACAAACTGAACGGGGGGATATATTTTACTTCAAACGACCGGATGTTCTCATAGTTCAAAAGCTCAAAAGATTTCGCTAAAAAGACAATTTTGTCCAGGGTTTTGAATTTGTACCAACAAATTCTTGGAGCAACCTGCAAAGCTAACTCGCGTTAGACGAACAGCCTGGATTTCATTTTCGCCCTATGTGGTTCTTCGCGCCATGCCATGCCAGCGAATATCGAGCTGGCGGGTAGATTAGCTTCGAGCGCGGGGTCATTTTGAGACTTCGCCGTCCTTCCAGTGCCTCAAACAAGAGCGCCTACTCACGGGCTTACCCACGGTATGGAGTGAGATCGAGTACAAAATTCGAATTTCTATTTCGTGTCTTTCTGTGTTTCACAAATCGTAAAAATCTATACTAATTAGATCAAATAACTAAATCACCGTGCAACCTGAGTTCAGGCTCTATGGAGGTCCAGAGATTCTGGAAACGAGTTTGTTATGATCGCACGAAAAATTAAAAGAAAAAAACAAAACAAAACAAAACAAAACAAAAACTGGACCTGATACAATTCTCCGATAAAATCTCTCCGGGTCGACATCGCAAGAATTTGATTGGCTAAATAAACCATAGCCCCTGTTTAGAGTAAAACCAAATACGGGTTTCGCAGAGACTCTAGAGCATGTTGGAAGACACATGTCACTTGTTTTTTCAACTAGAGATTTAATATCCAGATCTTTTCTATGTATATTAGCTCGGCATGAAAACGTAACGTCCTGTTTCAGATTGAAATGCAGAGAATCATATCATGCGGCTATTTTGCGTTATTTTGCAGAAACCCGCTTACGACCAATGATTTATAACGCCAGTGCAGAGATTGCCTATTGTTCTATTTCAAAAGAGAATGAAGGGTAACAGAATTAGTCCCCCCGAAATAAGCCTTTCCCCTGAGCTAATCCCTCTAAAGCTATTATTAAATCACAGCTGGTTTCGGAAATCCAGGAATGGATCCACAAAAGAACAATACTGGGACATAGTTTTTGCTTTCTTGGACAGCCGAAGTGGTCATACAGGTCTTTTTGTCCTCCATGAAAACATTCTCTTAACGCGCGGTGTAATATTATCTATGGGGGAACTGGGTACCATGTCGGATAATAACTTGAGAGGTATTACCTTGAGAAAAGGCCTGGATATGGGATCAACTCCCTTACTAATTAACCTGTCCTGTCTCCTGACTACATCAACATCCCAAGATTATTGGGTTAGGGCATGAGTAAACGCATTTTGAAATGTTGACACTTTGGATCAAAAATACCAACTAGCTAATTTTGAACTCTTCTAAGGTTCAAAACTCCAACAAATTACAGTATTTGACGAACAAATCTGCTTCAGCCCAGCACATGCCTTCTTGAATTACCTCGCGAGTGTCGTGTATCGAAAGTATATGTTCATTGGCAATAAATGTCAATCAGGCGTTAAATGAAGGCGGTGGGAGTGATTTCTTAAAGACACCTGCATTACGCTTTTCGAGGGACCGTTAAAAACAAGAAGCAAATAGGGAGCCCGAAAAATTGGCCTGATCGCAGGTCTCGATATTACTGCTATTAACCAGACCGAGGAACCGAGTCAAAAACGTTTAAATAATAGCGCCTCTCATTTCAAATAGACCAGGTTTAAAAAATGATTTTGACCAGCCATCGCACGGGCCAAACTGGACTAGCCGACCAAAATTATTTTGCCGCCGTAATTTTGTCCAGCAATTTTTTTTTTTTCGAGAAACATTAACTACTAAATAACCAGGAGTGAGGTCGTTACGGGAAAATATCTCAAACTGAGGCCTTGCCGTATTGACCGACCGATAGCGAGTTCAATACGGAAGGCCGAGGTTTGAGATTTTCCCGTAACGACCGAACGGTCGAGGCTATTATGTTGTTTGTTATATGGCTCATGAATTAAAGAAAAGACAAAAATCATTCGAACGGAAGTCGTCAATTTACATCCGGCGAACGCGCTTTTGCCGATTCATTCATCGTTTCAAACCCAGGGCAAACCTACACAGTCCGTGAACTTCACCACTGCATTACGTATTCCGTTAAAAACACACATTTCTTCAAGGGAAAAGTGATTGTCACAGCCTCAAAAAGGTCTTTTAGTATCGTGGTGCCAGAGCTTGATAGGGGGAGTTTTTCCGACTTTTGTGGCGAAAAGTCAACGCATATAGAAAAGACAGAAAGTGTTTCATGAAATAGTTCAAACAAACGGTCTTTCGGTGCAAGAAAATACTAATGCTTCAGAATGCAAAGCTCAAAATAACTCGATCTTCCCATTCGCTTTCGACAGCATATCTTCGCCATCTTCATTCTGGGATTTATGGATGAACTTTTAAAACCTTGTGAACGTCTAAAGCTTCCTGCAGTTATCAGAAACACTGCTACCAACAGAAACCGCCCGATTGTTTACATCAGACGATCGTGGAAGCTGATTTACACTAGCTTGTGTTAAAGCGAGGGAATCTAATTGATGAGAACTGTGGCGGAGTCCAATATTTCGGTAATTGCTGTGACTAAGATGGTAACTTACAAGTTTCTTCGTGGCGTTCTGCTCAGGATACATGACAGATCTGCCAATGGTGTTTTTCACTTAGCGATTTTAGCTTTACAAGACTCGAAACTTTGATTGTTTTTTACTGGTGCCCGCCAAGGTTACCGGCTGGTAAGTCAAAGACGACTTCTACATAAATTTTATTAAGGAAAAATCTCTAAACTTTTAGCTACTTACTTTCCCTTACTGTTTTAAATCGACTTTCATCCATCGTTTCAATGCCTTGAATTTTCAGAACCGGGCTCTTCCTAATTTGCATAACCCGTAATCGGCCCGTGGGCATTACGGCTGCATAATGACCGCTCAGATCTCGCTCTTAGCCAATCAGAACGCGCGTTATATCGGCCACAAGCCAAAGCCATATAATAAGACAGTTAAATGGTAAAAAAACAAAAAACAAAAACAAAAACAAAATTGTTTCCTCAGCCAAAATTTGGCAGCCGCCGAGGCAGCGCTTCGGCTTCTTTGAAGATTGACGAAATATTGCCAATTCGAAAAAAAATTGGCAAGTTTCTTGGAGGTCGCACTTATTTTACGCTACTTGTTGACAGATTTTATACAAACAAAATTGGCTCTAGTGCGACATGGAAGTCATGTTTTTGCTTCTTCACTGACGGCAAGCAACACAAAGCGCGCAAACTTGACATGATTCCCCTAAGAAATCATGCACCGCGGTATGACATGATTACCCGTGACCTTGAGTGTCCTAGACATGATTATTGTATAATCAACAGCTAGATGACATGACAGGCGCTGATTTCGAAAAGTTACTGTACACTTTCGGCCAATCAGAAAAGAGATAGTGAGTTCAATGTATAATAAATAAATGTTATTTGCCGGCTGGTTACAAATGGGTTTGTTTACGCAACTCCAGACTTTTCTACCGTAAATTGAATAGCAGAAAGCGAAGAAATTCGTTAAGTGTATTCCACAGAAATTCTCCGAAACACAGCAACGATCGGAAAGGTAAACTCGACTGAAATTGACTCAAATTTTATGGCGAGAGAAACACAGGATTACGCGCCATTACAGCGCCAAGCTACAAACGACCAAGCAAACTCTCACAACTTCAAAACACTCAATTGAATTTACTTACAGTGACTTTCCTTGCCATTTTAAAGTGAACAGGGATAAACTTGCGTTGACTAATCGTCGATGGACGCGTAAAAAAGGCAAAAGATTGACGACTACCGCCAAATTTTAGGAGCGTAATTTAGGCTGCGAAAAAAAAAAAAATCCGGCCCATGGGCCGTATCGTAAAAAGCTGGACCGGTCACGTGCGTATGATTAGCCAATCAAATTCGAGGATTTAGGAATCCGGCCCGGTCAGATTCTTGAGAAAGAAATAATAAGCAATTATTGGATGAGGTATTTGTAATATCCAGAGTAAACAAGGTCGAAGTAGGGGTTATCAGTCGAAGCCGAAGGGTGAGGCCAATAACCCTTACCGAGACCTTGATTATTCTGGATATTGCAAAAACCGAGTCTAACAATTCTTTTATTATACATTGAACGAAAAAAACAATGCAAGTCGTGTTTTTGCCTCTTCACAGACGACAAGCACCACAAAGCGCACGAACTTGGCATGATTACTCTTAGAAATTATGTACCGCGGTCGAAGACGATTACTCGTGACCTTGAGTGTCCTTGACATGATTATTGTATAATCTGCAGCTAGATGACGTCACAAGCACCAATTTCGAAAATTCACTGTACGCTTTCGGCCAATCAGAAAAGAGATAGTGAGTCAGAAGATGGGCTCCTGAGTGAGTTCAATGTATAATAACACCAATTATCGCTTTTCGCTGAATTAAAACTACTGCCGTGTCGCGCATGACTAACTTTCCATGTGACACTAGTCTCAAGCCGCCGATAACCATACTTTGTGTCAAGATGCAAAACCTAAACACGTAATGCAGTCAGCAATTGAAAGGTTCTAAACAGTAGTAGGAAAGAGGAGAGAGCCAGCACATTACATTAAATTTGACTATAAACCAGGGAATTTCGTCTAAATTTAACTCTAACAGAACTAAAACAGATATCAGAAAGAAAATAAAAGGGGAGGCATCAACCTTGTAATGTACTTACTAGAAACCGGTCTAAACCGGTTTTAACCGGTTAAAGCAGGAGAAACCAGATTAATCACTATCAAAACCACAAATATGATTATCATGTTGCATATTTGGTAAGACAATAGTGATAATCCAAATATTATTATTTTTAGGATTTTTTAAATAATCTACTAATGGTAAGTCTTTCTCTGAATTATTTATAAAGTCACTCCATGAGAACTCCCAACTATAAGGACTATTATTTAATGAA